CAGAGGTTTTATGGGACGGAGGGAGTAGTTTTTATGGAAGATCCTTTTGGCTCCCTTTATAGATAAAGCATCACATGGTCCAAAAGGGCAGACAAAGGTTCAACGACCAACCAAAAGAAAGGAAAAACTGCTAAAGTGGGCTAAAGCATAAAATACAAAAAACCATAATGAGCACTCCGCTTAAGCGTTGGAGGTAGCAAAGTGGGACATAGCCGTCATGAAAGAGATAATAGCTCCAAGATCAAGGTGGTGATCGCCCCACAATTGCACGTCCTACCCAACGGCCACCACTGCTACAAAAAAGATGGCTTGATATAAATAGCGTCAACAACCAGGCAGACAGATGAAGGTCTTCTTGATAACCATCTTACTGTGCATTGTCTACAAAGTTTAGGCAAGAACACCAAAGGCTGCCCATTGTAGCCGATGGTCTTACCCAACTGCACATACAAGTAACTCATGTAGATCACGAAAACTAGGTAGACACTAGTCCCGCGAGAAAACCTCACGAAGGCATCTCCACACGAACTGGGCCGAATAGCAGGTGAATAAATGTGTTCAACATCCTCTGCTACCCCATGTAGAGGGCACATACCACTCCCTAGTCTATGATGTTTCATCACCTCCATGCCCTTAGGGAGCTGGCAACAGAGAAGCTGCCACATGAACATCCTAATTTGAGCAGGGTCTTAATAGGCTAAACTAGAGACACCCAGGGAATGCCATGTCTTAAGACACCAACAGCTCATGAACTTGGTCGAATAATGCATTGAGGTTTTTAAGCGCATCTGGTTGGGCCGGGCCCATAAAGAGCAAAACCCTTCAAACCTGGCCATGAACTCGTTCTAGGATGCCGTCTTGTTTGGACGGAACGAGAGGTTCCTGTCATCGCCAGACAACATTGATGCAACTATGACATCCAGGTCCGAGTGAATCGCAAAGAGGTCGAGGAACTCCTCGAGTAGCAAAGATTGGCCTAACTAGCAAGCAGTTCATTGTTGAGATCGACCTGTCATGACCTGTTTTGTACTATTGAACTGCCATAAGGTTCTTTTTTGAACCACTAGAAACAAACCGTTCTGTACTATTGAATGATGATTTCCAAAATCTCGTAAGTTTGGTCATCATGTTAGAAATCTTTACTATGAAATGGGGGTTGTTGGTCGTCGCAGATGTCACACTCCCATAAATTCTTGTTCACAAATTCCAACATGAGCCTTGTTCATAAATTCTTATTTTCAACAACCAGAAGGTCTTGGCTCACAGATTGTGCTCTACGCGTGGACCATCTGGAAGCACCGAAACGGCTGCATCTTCGAGGGACCGCATCCATGGCACACACACCTGGTTCACACCATCCAGGAGGAAACTCGTACCTAGGCGAAAGCTAGTACTAGAGGGCTAAATATGATTTACCTGTAATCTGATGTTGTATTCCAAAGGGCCGAGAAACCCCTAGCTTTCTACTCAACAACCTTCTCGGCTGCGGCTTGTAGTGTACACAGTGCAAGGACCGCATCTCTGTTCTTTCTACCGATCTATAAATGGAATGACACACACCCTGCGTATTCCCGAAAAGAGTTAGTCACCACTCATAGTACCTTGTCACATTCCCCGCTCCCATCCTTTCGGTTGCATCCTTGTTAATAAGAAGTAATAAATTTTAGGTTCCCAAATCATCTCTATTTCCAGGATGCATCACATGGGATCATCGTTGCCATGCAGATGCTTAAGACAACCAGTGTTATCCAAGACTGGTTCGTAGGTTCAAGCTCAAGGCACTCATCAAGATGCGCTGGACATCGTGTGCAGTCTGTTGCCAAGTACTCTGGTGGAAACTCCACACATGTGGCGATGCGAGAGGCCAAGGTGAACACACCCTTGAGCCATCAAGTGGAAGCTTTTGGATTTACCTTTGTCGAAGATCTGATGCAACATTTCATGGGTGCGCAAGCACAAGAACTAGAAGTACATCTTTTGGAAGAAGACGGCACACATCGATCCTCATGTACATGGTACCCTAGGACCCACGACGCATCTTCAAGTTTATTGGCTCATTACTTTTTTATTTAACATTGTATGTATATTGACACATTTTCGCAAAAAAGATATTGACACATGTAAGTGGGACACATGGTACTTTTTATTAGGGTATGCCACCAGGAGGAAGCTGAACATTATAGCAAGTGCACGTGTGCCAAGACGTACTAACTTACAAAAGAGTACGACACTATAAGTAATGTCTTGTTTCGTAACAACACTCGGGCCACTTGGCTAGTATGGGGGAAAATACGGATTTACTTTTAGTTTTTGGAGGAAAATTTTAATAAAATGAAGAAAAAAAATGCAAGAGGAGGCAATGAATTGCATGCGGGCCGAAGAATGTAGAGACAGGACTGTATCTACATTAACTAAGTCCTTCAAAAATGGAAATCAAATGATTTCAAATATGAGAGACAGGACTGTATCGGCTGGACCAAGTCAGTTCCTCGAGCTCCTTATCCTCCGAACTAATTCATCTCCTGTATCTTCATCCATTACAGTGTATAACTAAGAGGGATTTTGCTGTTCATTACCAACAAAGGCACCTTTACATCCCACTGCCACCATGTCAATAACAGGAAACAAAAGAACCAACGAAAAAACAAGCAGCTTCCCCTCTTCTTCAGGGACTATACAGCAGCAAGGGGTAACAGCAACTCTAAGTGCATCAAATTCCATGAGTACGTCCAGCTTCTCCCAACTCCAAACCTTCATCTTATTTTTTTTTTCATATTGTTTTGAAATGTGCTTCCATTTTTATTCATTTCAAGTATATATATATATATATATATATATATATATATATATATATATATATATATATTCACACCAATCACCAACATTAACTAAGTCCAGATGGCAAGGGATGCCATGGCTATGGCCCCGAAAAACAATGCAATGTATGCACCAGCCTGCAGCCTGGCCGGGCTGCTGCTCATCCTTTGGCCAAGGAAATCAGCCGCGATGAGATCCACAAGTGCCATATAGATCAGTATACCAGCTGACATGGAATCAAGAATGCCCTCCACCACCAACGCCCTGGGGCTGTATGGGTCGTAGAATGACGCCATGGCCACCCCCACGGCGATCCCTGTGGGTGCTGTGATGGCAAAGAAGAAAGCCATCAAGAGCGTAGAGAGACCCTTCAGCCGGGCCTGCATTATTGATTTGTTCATGACACAACTCACTTGAAGTAGGAACTGTTACGTAACACACTAGCATATGCACTATTCTTGGCTGAGGAGGTGCATGTTAATTACGATACCAAGGTTGTGAGAAACCTCTCTTTCAATTGTCCAAAATGCCACATACTAATCATGATTAGGGAAAAGTGGAGACCGTTAATTAACCTGGGAAATGCAGTCACCTAGAGCGAAACCCTCGAAGAACTGGTGGAAGGAGAGGGCAGCAACCAAAGGCTTGATGGTACACGGGCTCTGCGAAACACCCAACGATAGCCCGATGATCACCGAGTGTGATACAATCCCCAACTCCAGAATCTTGAAGGTCGGAAATACATGCAGCAGATCACTGTAAATTAAGCATATATATACCCGTGAAATTTACAACTCAAAACATCTATGCAACTGTAATTCCATTAACATTTCACATATCTAACTAATTTGCTTATATTTTCATTTACATTACTAATATTTGCTATATTAGTAAAACCATAGGAAAATAAGCCACTAAAATCACGCAAATAAACAAATACTTATTTCATATGGCTGTTGTAGAATATAATGGCCACAATTTGTCATCCATAAATAGAGATCTACATACCGTAAATGCAACTACTATAGATAGATAAGATATTCCAAGAGATACCACCTTGTCTCATATGAAGTAAAACCAATTTTAGATCACAATTATACTATATATATGTTCGAAAGGTTATAACTGGAATTTTGTACACGGTTTTCCACCCAAAAACATGAGCAGTACATGCATAAATTAACGAGGTTTTAGATGTAAAACTAACAATAAAAACAAATAATTGGCAAATTCAAAATATCAAGACCCTTACTTAATCACAGTATTGTTTAATTCTCTTAATTTCTTAATCCATCCTCACAATGCTTCGTTTGTTTTTTCTAGGTTGACAAATTGCACTTCAAATTTTATAAAACAACTATTAAGTAAAAGCGCACTCACAATAGCATGCGTCACATGTATGACTATATGTAAAATTATTTAATGTGATCGACTACAACGTAAGTTGCATCTGTTAGAGTTATATTGTTGATGCCTTTTGGCCTTATGTATTCCTGACTTTTGGCATCCTCTTGTACATCTATATGTAGTGCCTTTGGCCTCCTAATAATACTAAGTTCAATATTACTCCCTCCTTTTCGGTTTATAGGGCTTATCTCAAAATTTTAGTTTTTCCATTTTATAAGGCTCAATTTGGTTGTTTTTCATCACATCTTCAGATCCCAAGGTGCATTAAATCATTGCATGCAAGTATTAAGAGAAAATTGACCAATGCATGTACTTTATGCATGCATGCATTGCAATTTATGCATTGATAAACATAATTTTTTGAAGAAAACAAGTGCATTAATTAGGTGCTTTTGCAAACTACAAAAAGTATTCCACCATTCATCATCTACCTTGGTTGGTGAGATTTTTGAATTGAGCCCTATAAACCGAAAAGGAGGGAGTATATGCATGAAAAATTGACTTGGTGGATCTACATTCTAATGCTATACAACCAGCAAACATATGTAATTATAAATGTACGTCCGGTCAGCCTAACTAGGTCACAACTCTATCTTTACATAGTTATGCCTGTAATTCAAATCCCTGGCTCCAGAATCTTCAAGATCAGCAATACATGCAGCAAAATCAGTATACACACTATGCATAAATATACATGGGAGATTTACATGTCAAAACATCGATGCAACTGTAATTCCATGCACACTTCATATAGCTAACTAATTTGCTCTTATGTTCAGTATATTCATAGGACGATAAGCCAATATATTCGTTCGCATAATAAAATGTATATACGGTAAGGATTTAGAGTATTGTTTTGACTTTAGCCAAGATGGACCTTACAAATGTTTGGTCATCTCCAAAAAAAAAGTTATTGTTTGGATGGTGGCCAATTTTTAGGCATGCCAATTCCTTTTTTCTACCCCGATTCAATCTTCACAATGTTGGCCAACTCATGGGCAGGCAAAAGCTCCACCAAAATTGTGGCCAGCCAACTTTTGGTTGGGCAAACCTGGGTGCAAAGCCTCAAACCAAACACACCTATATCACTTATAAATAGATTTCTACGGTAAATATGATGCCATGAACTAGAACAAGTGCAATTGAGTATTTGGGTCTTATCTCTCATCCTCGGCCTGGCCTCCGCGTCACAGACTCATAGCCTTGGAGGCGAGTCGAGGGAGAACCTTACCCTAGCTTGCAGCCACCCCCTCCCCCCTTCTTTCCCTCTTGTTGTTGCAAAGGTTTTCATTAGGCAATCCCGTCATGCCAATGAAGATGGTGGATAGGCCCCCCTCAGTGTGCCTCATGAAGTGGGCGCTAGACATTGGGAGTGGCAGCCCCAGGCGAAGAAACAACATCGACTTTTGGGGGGTGGCAGCCGAGGGTGCTACCCCGTGACCTTGGCCACACATGGAAATGATTGTCAAGCATGTGGCATGCTAGGCTCCCCATCGACCATTGCATCAGATATGAATAAGACTACCCCTTTTGTACCACGTTGTAATTCTCGCTCCACCGAATAAGCAAGTTGGTGCCCTAGGGGCCGGTGAACCGAGTATACTGGTTGAGGTGGATGATGACGGGGAGCTGGGGATGGAGAGAGACCTTTAGCTGGTGGTGGAGGCCATGAAAACGACAACACAATGCTGGCTCCCTCCTCATAGGCTTTGTCGAGGTCACCTTCCCCATACAATCCCTTTGCTTTTGGGTGAAAACCCTAGTCCGCAGTCGGGCTAACGGTTTGCATGGATTATCAGCGATGTAGTTGAGCCGTGCACGATACTGGTGCTCGTAGTGAGCTTAGCTGGTGCAGTGTGCGTACTTTATGTTTTCTTACGTGGCAGTTTGACTGGAATTGCTCATGTTAGTTATTTTTAAGCAGTTCGACATTTCAAGCAGCATTTCTCTTATTTATTTTGCTTTCCTGCTAGCTGTAAGCTAGTTTTAGGAACTATAAATTTCCCGTTTGTGGATTTGTTATTTCAATTTGGGCATAATGCATTTGATCCAAAAAGGTTACTATGTATCTTCTGAGATGCATCTCATAGGAAGTACAATCAATTAAAAGCAAAATTTCTATCCATAAAAAATGTTTAAAAGCGGGAGTACTATAGCAATAATTGTCTGCTACCAAAAATTATGCACAGTACATGCACAGACTAACAAGGTTCCAGATGGCAGTATATTATGCCTCACGAGTCGCACCATATTCTTTATTAAATTTCACTAATTGCTTAAACGAACGTCACAAGTGTTATTAAATATTTCATTTCAATATAATTAAGGAGAAGTATATTTGAATGTTCAGCTCTGGATCCAAGATTTCCAGGTTACTGATTATAACCTTATTATACTTTTGGAATTTGGCAAGAACAATGGCAAGTAAAACTACGTGCACATGCATAGTGACAGTAGTATCACATGTATGACTGAAAATCACAGCAGAAAAACAACCAATGAATTAATATATGTAACAAAAAGATACAAAGCTAACTTCACATGTCGTGACTTTTATTCCCTCGTATACCATCGTGCAAGCTTCACTGACAAGTATTAATGTTATGAACTCTTTATTTATTGTTTTGTTTGTGAAAAGTCCATTCACTTCCTGCTAGAAGGCAAGGGCAATTAATATGGACCATATTTAGATTTGAAGATGACACATTAATCTAGCAATTAGCAATAATATATTAGAGACTATTTTCAAGACCACTTTAATCCTGCTAAAAACATGGAACATTTACCTATTGTCCCTTTGCAGCTGCTGGATGAAAATAGCATACGGCATCCTCACCGGCCCTCTCGTAAGCGCACAACTCTGCAGTCTTCCATAAAGAAAAAGTACCCCATCGATGCCCATGCCGTCCAGAACTAATTTAGCTGGTGTTTGATAGCTGTTACTTCACTGGTATGATCCTCTTTTGCCACATTTTATGTAGTCATTTAATTTTGTATCTGTTCTGGTAGAGAAAATGGACTGAGATATACCGATCTTTCCTACAGATACTTCATTGTTTGAGTACAAGCTTTAGTTTCCAATCCACTAGATTTGTTATGTTATGAGTTAACTAGGAACCTTTTTCGGGTTTCTGTAAATATTCAGTTACTCTTATAGACGCACATGAATTTACAGGAAAAAGCATATTAGTGTGTATTGTGTTCATTTCACAGGTGTGTGGTGTTAGAAGACACACTGTCAAAAGTGCTCCCTCCTGATTATAATTAGTTTCACTGTAGTTGAAGGTTGTTGTTCGTTTCGTACCTCTTCTACAACAGATGCTCTTCTTGAGGCTTAACGTGGACACCTAAACATATACTCTTAGAGAAGTAGATCTGCACTCTCCATTATATCACTCTGTGAGATGGGTTACCTGAAGCTTCATAAAGAGCACATTTTTTTAGCCTGCAATTATAACTTAGAAAGAGTTACCTCCCCTGAGCTTATATACTAAATTGTTGGGTCCTCCCAAGATTTCTTTGATGTGTACGAGTGTAATTAATTTTACCATCAATCCATCCTCCTTCAAGCATTCATATATATGTGCACAAATATATATCGTGAAGAATATATCCAATGTTAAGAGGGATTTATCAACTTAGCTGATACATTAATCCTTTGGTTCCAGATGTTGTTTTTGGTGGGAAAATGAGTTCTTCAGCTTTAGAACAACAACAAATATATGATAATTGGGCCAATACAGCAATGTACTACTTATGTATATTGTGCTGCTTATATGTGCTCCCAAGAAAACATGGTACGCCAAGGAAACATGGGTTACCGTGTCTATAACTACCTCACCTTTTCCAACAATAGACATATAAAGATCTCATTTGTTGTTTCCTTCAACCCCTGCGTGGATGCCTAATAACCTTATCATATAGGAAAAGATTGCAAGAGATACAAAACACTCTTCCTGACCTATAGCAATATGGGCATCCATGCAACCCGTGTACTCCCTCCGTCCCAAAATAAATGTCTCAACTTTGTACTAACTCTAGTACAAAGTTATACTAAGGTTAAGACACTTATTTTGAGACGGAGGGAGTACCAATTAGTCCGCCCATGTCCCTGGCGGACAAGCATGGTGGCGAAGGTGGAAACCAATGACTTAAATAAAGCTTCATAGCATACCTGAGATAGTTCACATCACATTTTTTAATTGCATTTCCATGTGTGACTTTCAATGAAGCTCGTATATCTTGAATTTTCAAATACAGAGCCTCTTTGGATCTTGGGAATTAGATAACTTATGAAAAAAAAAGACATGATTGAACTAGTATTAAATTTTGATTGTGTACAGGAACTGATGGAGAGGGAAGGATTGAGAAAGGGGAGTGGGGAAATGCATTACAGTTAAAATGCTGCATTAAGGATAATTATTTGTGAGGTGCTTGCTTTTCCTAAGTTAACTAGTTTGATTATTCTTCAAACATTTACCACATAAGTTACTGTCATCGTATGAATGCAATGAAGAAAGTAAACAGAAATGGAACTGAGTTATTGAGCAAGCTCCATCCAAAGTACTATATTGCTAGAAACTGCCATCACTGGGTTCACAATATTTATGCATTTTCTAAAAGAGCTAGCGCATGTATGCACATGGGTTCATGACTAGTGTTTTTAAATTGGATCACCCAAATTAGCTACACGTCCTTCAAATATATATAACGCTTTTGATATACAAAAGAATATTTGACTAAATGACAATAAAGTCAATATACGCCACGTGCATGAGACACAAGCATAGAATGTGTGGTCCATAAATAATTGGCACACTGAACCAGAAGTAGCATTTTTCTTGACAAGATCACTGCCACAAACCAAACACCTCCAACAGCGTGTGGCTGTCCAAGAAATGAAAATTATGGAACGACTTTATTTGGCCCCACAGAATTACAGATTTGACTACATTCTATTATTTGATCAACTAGAAAGTAAGCTGCACCAAGACATAGATATTTCAATATTATCCGGAGGTGACAGGTCGACTTGGTGGGCTAATATATAATGGGGCCAAATAAAACATATATAATCCACAACTTGTGTGGGGGTCGGATTATAGCAGTACATGCAGTAAGCAAAAAATCAAAGGTTTAAATAGCAAGATATGCCATTTAGCGTCAGCGGCCGCTCGGCCAAAAGCTATAGTAGAGCTATATGGAAGCTTAGAACTATTTTGGCATTTTCCCAAAATCACAAAATTGAAAAATAAGCATACAATCAGGCATCATATATTACACGTGTATCACATATACTTGATACACACACATTCATACATAAAAAAATGAGCATTGATCAATCATCTGAATTGAAAAACTAAGTTTTGCATCAATGCATCATATATACAGCAAAAACAAGGACGAATAAGGCAGATTGATGGCTTTATGGAACTCATGTGCGCCCCTCCTCTGGCAGCAGCGGCTTAACGTCATTAAATGACTCTAAATCTAGCGTTATAGTTTAGCGTCATTTTAGTTTAGCATCAAAGTACATAGCTTTAGCCGGAGGGATCACCAAAATCTGAAGCGACACTATGACCCTGTTTGGTTCAGCTTTTATCGACAGATTCCGCTGCCGCGCAGTAGAATCTAAACCAAAGGATGAACCCAGCAGAATCCGATTCCAGAAATCCGCTATCAAAATCTGAACCAAAAGCGGAAGCAGCCCAGGACGTGCTTTCCAAAATCTGATTTCGCTGCGGGCCAAAATCTGAAAAAGCTGTATCGGCTGTTTTGCCAAATGACCTACATCTTTTTCACAGCAGATTTTTCACAGCTACTTTTAGAAATCCACAGCCGAACCAAACAGGGAAGACTATTTAAAATTTGGCCAAAATAGGTTTCAACTCTATCTTTAGATAGTTCTGCCAGTAATTCAATTATACACAAATTAAACAAGGGCATGCCAACCATAGTATTTTCTAACAGTTCATCACATGAAGCAACAAATAAGGTTAGAAACTATATCTCGTGAATAAGGAATGATGAATATGTTGTGCAGTTTTCTTTACAATTCAAAGAGAGGAGCTGTTAAGTGCTAAGGATAACTAATGGTATAGTTAAGAAATAAACTTGCAAACAAGGGACATAATTTCTAGATATTCAACTTATTTCAAGCTATTATATTATTTAGGTGGCTAAGAATATTTATATCAAGGACTAATTCGTACTTTATTTATATTGGTACAACAACTTTTATATTACAAATTTAATATCAAACACAATCATCGGCAAATCTAGGCATCTAGGTGCGTTAGTTTAGAACTTCAGATATATCTTTACATAAGTGTTTCACCTAGAGTATATGTTGCTTCTTTAATGGTACCGGTATTTTTCTAAGTTCATTCTTCTACACAAAGCATTTTTCTAAGTGTGTTCTTCTATAGAAATCGTAGTTAAGCAACCAAGGAAGCGATAGTATATGAGTTCATTACCACTGTTTGTATGGTACGCTAAGGACATGCATGGTCGGTGACTACATTAAGATTGGTGACATGATTGCAACTGAGTTCTTCGAAAAGTTTGTGCAAGGCATGCTTGAAATCTTTGGTGGAGATTATCTTTGAAGCCTTAACAATGAAGATTTAAAGTCCTATTTCACATCAACGAGGCCATGGGTTTCTTGACATGTTAGGAAGTCCTGAATGTACGCATTGGCATTGGGGAAAATGTCTCATTGCATGGTCAGGTCTATCTCATAGGGATAGCTGGTGCTTACACTTATGCCAGAGGTGGTTGCATCGCAGGATCTTCGGATATGTCATTTACTATTTCGCTATTGTCTAGTCAAAATTGTTCATGAAGCTCTTATGTGAGTTTACATGCGTGTATTTGGTTCTTAAATATTGCAAACACTAGCCATATACTGTGCAACAAATGTTTGGTCCAATATATAAAATTTATCTCTCAGAAATGGAATGCTACTATATTTGGAACTCTCAGCCTTTTGGTTTAGTTTGCACAGTTTTAATAAAAAAATGCATGATAGTCATAAAAAAATATTTATAACCAAACATCACAGAAAATAAGGTCATAGATTATAGCCCGTTACTAAGAACAATGATTTGGTTCTGCAGGCTTTCCTCGTGATATGAGATGAGTTGTAAAGGATAGTTAATATGGTCAGATATTCGACTTATTTTTACAGCATTAGATTAGACACGATGACTAGGTTTAATCAAGCCCTATCTCACACTATTTATATTTGTATATATATATCGATAGATAATCAAATAGTAAAATAAAACTAATTGTTGAAAGTAGATAGTACTCACTATCAACGCAATGACCGACAAATATAGCCGTGTTGGTTCAGATGTAGCTTAACAAAGAAGGTTACACTGGGAGTAGGTATGTAATACTCATTTTGACCAATAATTATACTCAATAACTTTTGTGATATGAAACTTTGGAATACGAATTTAGTGACATAATTTTTGCACATAAAGTACATACTAATAGAGTGATTGTTGGTCAGTTCGTTCAAATGCTTGTCCTAAGGAGACATGATATGCAGTAAAAAACAGAGAGAGGTATATATCTTTGTATATGTGCGCTTGTTTAGTGGTATTGGCATTTATCTAAGTTCATTATATAAACTACATCTCTTACTAATAGTATACCATTAGATTCGGACACTCGGCCTTTTGTTAGATATCTAACTTCGCACAACTATAATAAGAAAAGGCATTTTATAACAATTCATCGTTTGGAGCAACAAATAAGGTTAGCAACAATAGCATATTGACTAAGTAATGATGAAATAGAGTGGAGTACGCAATTTTCCTAATAATTTGATGTAGTCATAAAGGATAACTAAAAGTGCAATCAAAACACAATTTCTGGTACTCAACTTAGTTTCAAGCCATTAGAATGATTTGGATGGCTAAGATTACGCTGAAATGAATGCTTCTACACACTGAAACGCGTCTTAGATACACTCATTTCAGCTACACACTGAAACATGTCTAGACAAACTCATTTTAGCGACAGTAAAATCCGGACGGAGGCTCTACCATTTTATTTTGCTATATTTACAACCCCATAGAGCAGATACAACGAACTGTGTGACGGTATAAATAATTTTAATAACAAAACATAATCGTCGGCAAATCTAGCCCCATCTGTTCAGAGCTTCAAATATAGAGCTTATTAAAAAAGTTGCACCAAGAGTATATGCACGCTGCTTCTTTAATGGTAGCATTTGTCAAAGTTCGTTCGTCTTAGAAAAACATGTTTAGTACGTAACTAGGAGTAATTAGCAAGTGATACTAGTACGTATATGAGTTCGTTACGATTATGCTGGGTTCATACCTGGGAAACAACCACCTGACGACCTTGGGACGGGCCCGCCTCGTTCTCGTGACCATGGCCATGGCCGTGGCCGTGGTGCACCGCTCCTTCACGCTTCGCGCCTCCTGCATTCCTCCCGTCCTCCAGCAGCGCCGCCGCTGTCTCATCTTGGGCGCTCGTTGCGGCGGCGGCAGCCGCCTCGCGCTGCTTGCGCTCGTAAAACTGGGTGCCGAGGAAGTCCACGACCAGTGTCACTAGGCTGGCGAGCATGGCGATGGAGCCAGCGAAGGGGAACCGCCGCCACGGCGAGTCCTGGAGGCAAGGGTCCTGGAATTTCTCCTCGGCGTCGTGCATCATGTGCACGAACCCCGTGGCCAGGATCACCCCCGCGGCGAAGGCCTTGGCGAGCACGAACGTGTACCCGCCCCCACCGGCTGCAACCCCACCACGCCACCTGCGGCCAACGAGCGGGATGGCGACGCCGGCGGCGCCCGCGACAAGGATGGCCGCGACGGCGACCATCTTGAGCCGCAGAGCGGCCTCCTCGTTGCGGCAGACATCGCCGCCCACCTCCCCCGCGTCGCAGCTCGCCGCGGACACCGAAGCTGCCACCAATCAGAACTTCAGATACATCAAATCGATGCCACCCCCAAATCTATCAGTCAGTTGGCATGGCATGTAACATTCTACTACCTGCGAATCGGTGTAGGTAGGCGCGAAGATAGGGGGCGACGACGTACCGCTCCATTTCCTGAAATCGGTCGATCACAGCAACGAATTACTGAGCCTCGGATTAATTGAAACAATACGGGTTTTTGCCGGCGGCCGGCCGGCCGCTCGCGCAAGACAGAGAAAAAACACAAGAAAAGAAAGCAGGAGGAGGACAAACACGAGCTACTGATCGTGCCGGCGAACTGCAACAGGAAGATGATTTCTCACCTCGAGGAACGCCGGCCGCCGCTGCGCTCAATCCAGTTCCAGTAGTCTCCCTCTTCTCCCCCGGAACAGTCGGATGAGAGTGTTGACCACCAGACAGCAGAGGCGAGCGGAGTTTACACGCACGCGAGGAGAGGGATGGAAGGACGCAAGGCACCTCGGCTAAGCTAGATCAGTAGGCGCACGCATGATTGTTGCCTCTCTCTCTTCCACATCGGCGCGCCGCATGTTGTCATCCCGCCCCGTCGGACGCCCGGCGGGCCGTCGTGGGGTGGGCCAGGGCCGACGCGCCGGGTGACGCCGTGAGACGAGGACGTGCGCGTGGGCTTGGATTCTCCGTTTTTCTCACCGTTTGCGTGTGGATGTCCGGACGCGGAGGTGCGATGTCGACACAATGACGACGCCGTTGCACATCAACAGTTGGTGTGCGTGTGCGTGTGCGTGCCTGCCTTTTGACTTTCCCTGCATAAACCACAAGCCGATGCATAGTTGTGAGTGACCTGTGGCAGCTTTGGAGCCAAGCTGTTGATTTTAAACAACTACTAATATTTTTTGAAAGGTTAGAAATTAAAGAAAATAAAAAAGGTCAGTATAACTAATGGCTAAGAGCCAATAATTTTCACCAATTTGTTTCCCAACCATCATGTATTACATTCCCTTATTAGTTTACATGTAGACCATGTACCACTATTGGAATCGCACCATACGCCGAGTGCTAGAAACACTCGGCAAAGCCTTTGTAGAGAATTGTTCTCAGCAAAGGTCACCCAACGTACACCTCTCAGGCAAACAAAAATTTGTTGAGAGTCAACCGTCGGACACTCGGCAAAGAGTTTGCTGAGAGCCAAACAATGCGTTTCGGCAAAATAAAGTGACTACACGGCCGTTGGTTCCGCCAGGTCTTTGCCGAGTGTCCCACTCGGCATAACTGCAATAGACAAGTTCCGATAACTCCCAGCACTTGCCACTTTTACGAGGGTCGCTCTCGGTAAATGTATGTCTTCTGAGTGCGGCTCTCGATAATGATTCGTTGCCCGTATTGTTTCTTCCTCTTTTCCATCGACCGCTCCATCAAAAACATATATACAATACACAAACTTCATATCCACCCAAGCTTAACAAGAAACTCATAAACGGGTTTATATATGTCCGCCCAAACTGAACAACAAACTCACATACACATTATATAAATAGTTCACACAAGCTTCATTTGAAGTCACAAAGTAGATCTTTAGCAGAAGTGCCTACTTACTAAACAATAAAGTGGCCAATGCATGTCTACATGCGACGAAATGATAAAAGCAACACCATAATTTAGACGAACTGAAAGAGAACTATCAAGTTCTTCCATCCACTCAACCTGATAAGCCGTTTTTGGTTTGCACCATTGCCTAATTCAATGTTTTCTTCTGTTGAAGCACATACTAATTGTAATGATTCTTTGTGACCTCTCTAGTATTGGACGGGTCGTGGGTGCTACCTGGGAAACGAAGCACTTTTTCATTGCACGCAGACCCTGAATAATAGACTCCTGGACACCTACCTCTGTACACCACATACCACTTCATCTATAAAGAAAGAGAAAAGGAGGAAGAGAAGGAATGCAGGGTTAAAATAACACTTCATACATAATGCACGTAAGTATTCCTCACTCATACACCCGAAAGCATCACAATTGGCAATCCAAGTCCAAATCAGCAGCTACCTAACTATATCACTAAATCAACATCAAACTATCTAGGTGGACTACTCTAAGGTGTAGTTGGTGAAACCAATGATCGTGGAGTGAGAGCACGTACGGACACCCCCCACAATGGAGGACCCAGCGTCGTCGGGAATTATGGTCAGTGGACTCAATGGTACCAGTTTGTCACTCTCCTTATGTGGTGGGGCCTTGCTCTTCTTAGTTGGCAGATTCTTCTTGGCCAGATCCTCAAAATACTTTATTAGGATCAGCCGTGGGTTCTCCTCAATGAGCGCCTCGAAGCGGTCCTCGACGCGCTTCTCCTTTAACACAGAGTCGATCATAATGGAAACTGCGTCGTCGGAGGAAGCCATAGCCGCGGACTCGATCGATGGTAACATCTTTCATCACAAAAGGAAAAATAACATAAGAACCAAACATCAAAGAATACTTCTAAGCAAATTTATCATGGTGGACACTCTCACGGATATTTTGACTTTCGGTGATGGTCGAGCTAGGCGAGCCCATCATGTGTTATCAAGGTATAATAGGAAGAGCTCATCCAGATTGGCTGTCATCGTCAAAAGTCGATTTTCTTCCTCCAAGATCAACTCGGATCGACTGTCGGTGATGGTCGCTCTTTCTCTGCTCCTCCCACTTTACCAAGATTTCAGAGGAAGAGCAGGGGAAGAGCAACCCCCTACGACAACAGTCGGTAACATCTCTCATCTGTCAAATATGTTGGACACTCTCTCTGGTAATGGTATATATGGTGGACACTCTCACACGGGTAGTTCGACTTTCGGTGATGATCGAGCTAGGTGAGCCCATCATGTGTTATCAAGGTATAGCAAGAAGAGCTGACCCAGATTGACCGTCGTCGTCAAAAGGTGATTTTCTTCATCCAAAAACAACTCTCATCGAATGTTGGTGATGGTTGCTCTTTCTTTGCTCTTCCTGCTTTACCACGGTCTTAGAGGAGGGGCAAAGGAAGAGTGACCCCCTACTGTAACATCCGGTAACATCTCTCATCTGTCAAATATGGCAGACACTCTCGCTGATGGTGGTATATATGGTGGATACTCTGACAGTTATTTTGACTTTCGGTGATGGTCAAGCTGGGCGAGTCCATCGTGTGTGACAAATGTATATCACGGGACAAACTCGCCCAGATTGACTGCCATTGTCAAAAGTCAATTTATTTTCCTCCAAGAACAACTCTTAATGACTGTCGGTGATGACAATAATCGGTAGCATTCCTCAGAAAACATCTCTCATCTGTCATATGGTTGACTAATACATAAAAACTACTACATAAAACTGCTACAAAAACTACTACTAAAAATGCTAGATAAAAACTACTACATAAATCCATACATACATCCACCATAGCATCCATCCATAGAACATCATCAAAATTTATCTAATCTATTCCTCCATCCATCTATTCATCCGTACATACATCCACCCATAGCACCCATCCATAGAACATCATTTAAACTTATCTAATCGATTCATTCATACATACATCCACCCATAGAATCCATCCATCTATGCATATATTAATCCATCCATGTAGTAGTGGGGAGGGGGAAGCTCACCAAGTTGGGAGTAGCGGCGGACCCCCATGGGGTGAGTGGGCGGTGGCGGGGTGGAGGGGGCGGGGGGAGTAGAGGAGGGGAGGCGCGGACAAGAAATGAAAACGAGCGCAGGGATTTCACGTAAGTGTCCCACGAGACTTTCTCGAGAGCCTGTTGGTGCGGGCTAGATCTAGGGTTTAACCTTTACCGAGAGCAGCACTCGGGAAAAACAAGTCTGTCAAACGCCGCCCTCTGAAAAAGCATGAGTCCGGATCGTTTCTGCCTCCTTCATCTAACCGTGCATCACATAGGAGTTTCCATGCCGCTTCTGGCATGATTTCATGTGCCGCCTTGCAGATCTGCAATTGCCGGCGCTGAAATCCTAGCAGAGCAATAAATGTCTCAAATATTGCACGCGGGTCCAAAAAATGCGGGGGCTTGACCCGTGTCATGCGATGGCCTCCTTTGAGAGCACGAGAAGTTTGAAGGCCAATAGAGCAACAAGACCCACACTTCCTGCAAAAACCATACACGTTCCTTCTTGATACCTAGAGACTAGCTCAGATATGGTGCGGTTTACAAGCGACCTCAGGGGAAGATTATTCGGCACGCGGCCAAACTTTTACCACACCCTACATTGGCCATGTGATGACATTGTGCCAACTCTTGAGGAATTCTGGCATAGTATGATTTTTCGAGGACTTAAACGCTTGCATCAGGCATGCCATGAAGGTACTTTCGTTGTAACACCCCGAGACCGATGTGCCACGTGTCTTCCAGTTATTCGCTGTTGTTGCCTTGTCATTGCTTGCGTGTCATGCATCTCATATGATGTCATCATGTGCATTTCATTTGCATACATGTTCGTCTCATGCATCCGAGCATTTTCCCGTTGTCCGTTTTGCATTCCGGCGCTCCTATGTCCTTCGGTGTCCCTTTCTACCTCTTTTCGTGTGCGGGTATTAAACATTCTCGGATTGGACCGAGACTTACCAAGCGGTCTTGGTTTACTACTGGTAGACCGCTTGTCAAGTTTCATGCCATTTGGACTTCGTTTGATACTCCAACGGTTAATCGAGGAACTGAAAAGGCCTCGCGTGTGTTGCAGCCCAACACCCCTCCAAAGTGGCCCAAAACCCACCTAAACCCCCTCCATCATCTAGGCCGTTCGATCACGATCGCGTGGCCACAAACCGTGCTCAATTTGGACACTCCTAGCTCCCTCGACCTATATATAGGTGATCCCCTCCGAAATTCGCGGTACAAACCCTAGCCCCCTCACTCTCCTCGCCCGCCGGACAAAAGGTCCGCCGACGGACGTGTCCGCCCGCGACGTCCGCCGCCACATGTCGCCGTCCGAGTGGCTCGGCCGCCTCCTCCACCGCACGGCTCGGGGAGCCCATCGCCGGCCCCCGAGGCCCGGTTCCGCCGCCACCTGCCCGAGGGGTGCCGCCCTCACCGCGCCGCCCCGCTACCCATCTCCGGTGCCGACCACCGCCGCCAACCGCGCCGGAGACCGCCCGCGCCGCCTCCTCGGCTCGCCGCCCG